CCAAGACCATCCTCCCCCGTCGATTGGGCGGAAAAAAATGCCGTCAGATTGAGGTGCGCGCCGGTCGCAGGGGCACACACGCACACACACACCGGGGAGGGCGCGGGGGGGCACCGCCTTGGGCGAGACTATCGATCTTTCATTCCTGTCGATCCCTCGGCCGGATCTTTGTTCAGATGAGGGGTCTGGGGGGGGGGGGTGGCTCACCAAGCCCAGCGTTGTGTCTGACAAAGCACCCCCTCCTCCCACGGCCCATCTTCGTCAATGATCCACCCCGATCTGGCCGGGCCGAGTCAAGGGGGGCCAGCACATTCTGGATATCATTAACTGATCACTAGCCATTAACCGGAAGCAGTCATATGATCGATATCCATGGGCTGATGCCCCCTTCCCGAATTACCATTGCCCTTGCCGGCTTGGGTGGTCCACCTCGGGGACTGACGACAGAGGGCCCCCCGAGAAGCCCCTTCGGTGGTGTGGAGCAGTCGACGAACACCCCGGAGCACGAAGTGGTCGTTCCTTCGCCTCGCTCGCAGTTCCTGCATACGGGCGCTGTATTTGGCGGTCAGCCACCTGCCCGCAGCGTCGACTGCCTCATCTCCACACAGGGAGCCACCGTTCCGGGAGGAGGAATGCCACTGGCGGAGGAGAAAAGACGTCCAAGACCCCCCCCCTCCCTCCGGCATGTGTGTGTGTGTGTGTATGCTAAACCGACCCGAGCAGGGGAGAAAGAGAAAAGGTTTATTGGGGGAGGGCAGACGGCGGGCGCAAGGAGGGGAGTTGATTGGCTCGAGCAAGTGGGAGGGGTGGGAAGGTCCGCTCAGCGGTGTCTGGCACCCCCCCCCCCCCCCTCCTCTCTCTCTCTCTCTCTCTCTCCTCGCGCTGGTTTGTTATCCTTTGCCCTTGTTCACGCGCCTTATCGGCAAATCGGAAGGCCACGGGCGCCATCTTCAAATCACGCGCCCTCACACCTGGGAGGTGTCGGCGGTAGACACCGGGTCAGCGGCCGTGGCCTCCTCCTCGGCAGCGGCCGCAGCCGAAAGGAGAGCGGCCGCCAGCTGGGCCGAGTCCGACTGGGACAGAAGCATGCTCGCACGGAAGGAGGTCAAGTGCTCCTCGACGGTGGGGATGGAGACGGCCGCCGGCTCAGCCAGCTCGCCATCAGCCCCCTCCTCGGTGGTCGGATCGCGGTAATGCAGCGGCCGTTCGGAGGCGAAAATAATGTCCCAATAGGTGAGGAAGGAGGTGAACACCAGCGGCGGGATGCGCAAAGTCCCGCTGAAGACGATGTTCAAGTTGCGCAACGGCATGAGATTCTCATTCTCATGCTCGCGGACCCGGTTGAAGTGGTCACACAGGTAGCGCAAGGTGGTGTACTGCCGGGGGGGCAGGTGCCCCACCAGCAGACAAAGGTAGTCCATCCGCTCGGACACATCCTCGATCGTGCTGGCCGTGTCGAAATTGGCCATCAGTGCCCCGGTGAGGATGGACTCCGGCAACTCACGGAAGTAGCGCTTGAGGATGTTGGCCACCGCGTGGGGGCTATCCACTTCCGGGTTGAGGGTGGCCCCGGCCGGGTCCTGCTCGAAGCGCTGCTGCATGGCATTCTGCATGCCGGTGGCCCCACTCAAACGGTAAATGCCCTCCTCGCGAAGGGCCTCGGCCTCGATGAAGGTCACACAGCGCCAGACAATGGTCGGGACATTGGCCGGCCCGCCGACATCTCCGGCGTCGGGCGCCTGGTCGATCGACAGGCCGAAGAGGTTCGGCCGACCGGGAACCGGCGACGTGGCCGCGGCCGCGGCAGTTGCCGCATCCGACGGCGAGGGGGACGTCGGGGTGGACAAGTCAATCATCGAGGCAGATGTGCCACTGATGACCACATGCGAGGGACCAGCCGTCGCGGTGGTGGTGGTGGTGGTGGTGGTGGTGGCGGTCGCCATATCGTCGCTGGCGGCGGAGGCCCCGGCGCCAGGCGAGCTGCTCGACCCGGAGGAGCCAGGGCTGGCCGACCCGTCGGAGGTGGTGGTAAATTCGGCGGTGCTACCGGTACGGCCGCTGCCGCGCATCATGCCAGACAACCGGCCCAGGGGCGAGGAGGCAGCCAGAGGCGCTGCGCCCGAGGAGGGATCGGCCGCAGTGCCGCCGACCGCTCGCCGGGAAGCCTCGCTGCTGGCCAGCGTCGAGGACCGTGTGTCGATGTGCTGGCACCAGGCGGTCCGCTCCGCCTCGGTGGCCGCACAAAGGACCACCTGGTGAGCATAGGACTCCGGGTCGGCCGGGTCCCCGGTGAGCGGGTTGCCACCGGGCGCGCCAATGCCACTGGCCGCCGAATTGTAATGAATGACCATGGGGAAGGGCGCGTCCGAGGGGGCCGACACGCCGGTCGGCGAAGAGCGCACCAGGCAGCTCAGCACCGGCACCACGAGCATCGGCTGCTCGTAATTGTTGTCCTTGAAGCTCCGGTTGAAGATCTGCAACGAGTGCGAGTCCAGCTGGGCAAAGCGCGCGCGCCACTTGGACAGACGGTTCGACCGGTAGAAGAGTAGCCCGGTGAGCAGGTCGGCCGCCCGGGCCCCGGGGGCCAGGATGCTGGCCTGGGTCAGCTCAATCGGGGCCATCATCTCGATGTGCGCCTGCAAGAGGGTCACCCAGCGATCGCGATCCGCGGCATTCTCCGTGCACAGCAAGTGATAATGCCCATCATCGCGGGTGATGGTGAACCCATAGCGAATGCCCTGGGACGGGTCGTCGGCCACAATGCTCACATGGGCACCCGGGAGGGGGATCGCCCCGAGAGGGCTGACCTTCTGCTGGCCCTGGGACTCGGCATCGGCCTCGGTGTCATTGGTGAAGTAGAGGAGCTGGTCACCGCGGAAGACGAAGAAACGGGACTTCCACACGCCAAGGCGCCTGCCGCGCTTCAGCATGTAGCTGGCATGCTCGCCGGCGCGCGTGCGCCCGGACGACAGCGACCACCCGGACGCATTGTCCTGGATGTTGGTGGTGATGAATGCCAGCAGCGTGGGCCATGTGGTGAGGTACTTCATCATGTTGGCCAGGTAGCTCTCGAACTGGGCCTATATGAGTGGCAATGCATAAGTGTCCATGAAGAGGGAGAGGAAGGGGAGGAGGAGGAGGATGGGAGAGGGGGGAGGTGAGTTGAAGGGTGAGCAGTGTGTCGCGCGGCAGCATGGGCGCATGTAAACAAACCTTTCGCTCATCGACGACCACCGGCGACAGGCGGTTGAGCATGACCTTCTCGGGGATGGAGCCGACCTTGTCCACCATCAGCGGGTACTCCTTGCGAAGCTACATGGCCATGAGCGGAAGGGGGGGGGGGGGGGGCAACGAGGAAGGGGTCTGGGATTAGAGGGGGGGGGAATGAAGAGATTGCGAGAAGGAGGGGTAGCACATCATATGCGCACCTTGGCATCCAGCTCGACGAATTGGGAGTAGCTCTTGTTGATGCGCCACTGCTCGATGTTGTTGTGGAAGAAGGCCCCCACGTAGACGATGCTCTGAGAGACCTTCGAGTCGGACAGGATCATGGCCGAAGGAACGCGAACCTGAAAGGGAAAAGGCCGGAACGGGACGGGCGGGCTGGGTCAGGCCGGGCGGTTGTGGGGGGCAGATGCAGACGCACGGCAGCAGCCAGGCAGGGCAGACAGATGCAAGGGGACATACCACAAGTTTCTCCATGACCGTGGCCGGGACAATCCCGCGCGGGTCGGCGACGATGCCGTTCTCCGGGGACAGGAGCTGAGCCATGGCCTGGGCATCGGCCTCCGGGGCGGTGGTGTCAATCGGTGGCGGCACGGAGCCGGGCTTGGTGGCGGAGTCGGCGGGCTGGTCATCCTCAGTGGAGTCGGCAGCCTCGGTGGGCTCGGCGTCCTCGGTGGGCTCAGCAAGCTCGGTGATCTCGGTGGCCTCAAGCTCCGACTCGGAGTCGGACTGAGTGGCCGAGTCGACGACGGCGGCGGGGACGGCGGCGGCGGGCCCGGCGGCTGTCTCAGCGACCGCGGAATAGGCTTCATCCTCAGAGAGGCTTTCCGGGTTGGCGGTCAGCGTGTCGGTGGCGGTATTCCCGGAGGAGCTGGCGGGCGCCGGAGACCCGAGAACATAGGAAACATCCTCGGCCGAGTCGGGACCAGTGGCCGCGGGCTCGGTCAGCTCGCACTGCTGGGACAGCAGGGCACCGTACATGAATTGCTTCTCGATGGAATCGACACAGTGGTCGGTAACATCGGGCTGAGGCTGTTCCGGGGTCAGATCGGAGGCGACCATGGCCGCGGCAGCCGAGCTGAAGCTGAAGTTGGCCACCGGCGAGGCCCCGTGGCCGAAGACCACCGACTGGCGGGTGGCCCGGCGCGAGTTGAAGGCCGGCAGGTGGGTGGACTCCTGGTCAAGGGCGTTCATGGCGCTAATCAGGTCGTCGGCCGATGTGGGGGCATCGGCCGAGGTGGCGGCGGCCACATCGGCGGCCGGAGGCTCGGCACTTTCGGTGACCACCGGCGCGGGGACGGCCTCCGGCTCGGGCGCCGCCTGGCTGGTGGAGTCGACGATGGCCAGAGCGGCGGCCACGGCGTCCTCCAGGTGGTCGTCTGTCCCGCCGGCGCTCAGGACGCTCGGCAGAGCGGGGATGGCCGACAGGTGTTGCGAGTCGGCGGCGGGGCCCGGCGCCGAGCTGGGCTTGGCCGGGAGGACGACAGGCGAGTCGGCGGTCGGGATCTCGGCCCCAACGCCAGCCTCCGCGCCCACCGCGGTCGGCATAGGCGGCGGCGGGGGCAGACTAATGGGATTGGGCTGGGAGCTGAGCTGCTGGAGCATGGCGTCCACCTCAAGCAAAGCCTGGGCGGTGGGAGGTTGGGTCATGGCGCCGGGAGCAGGCTGACGCACAGCGCCATTCGGAAGGGGGGCATATGTTAGAGGGGAGGAGGGCAGGAGGGGGGGG